ATTTTTTTCACGAGAAGAACAAGTAATAATCGGATGGAGCAATGTCTGGGGAGTACGGAGGATGAGGTAGAACGTCTCGATCAAGCTGCAATAATTTTTGTCTTACGACCAACGCAACATGCGGTTTTGCGTCGTCGTGATGAAAATTTGACGGTGTGGAACTTCGAATCGATTCACATATCCCATCTCGATTAAATGCTTATGTACCGTTGTCCTGGGTACGTTAGTGGCATCCGCTATCTCGCGCACGCTATACCGCGGATTTTCAGCGAGCATATCTTTGACGAGGTCCGCATCCGTCGTTGTTGTACGGCCGCTGCGGTCTTCGTCTTCCAAATCATAATTGCCAGCTCTAAATCTCTTAAACCAATCGCGGACTGTCCTGATAATCGTAGAACCATCGCCGTAAACGGTACAAATCTCGTTCGCAGTGTTCTTTGCCCTATCACTTTTTTTTAAAGCAATGAAGCATAACATGCCGCAAATGCTTCTTTTGGCTATCCATATTGAACGGCGTAGAAAAACTGTTATAAGAAACTTTGTCACCAACGAAACGTGCTGTAAAAGAGCTCCGGGATGTCTGAAACCGATACCCTGAACAGCCAAGAGGCAAATCTGCGTGTTTATATGTATAAACACAGCCAGTTAGATTCATTAATAGCGCGGCGCGGGAAGAACCTATGGGACACCCTAATACAACGCATCGTGGAGCAGTTTCTAAATTCTTTTACTCTCGATTAATGGTAATTAACCTAAGTGATCCCCGAGATGAACGAGGGCGCCGCGTTAAAAGGCAGTTTTCGTTGCGCGCCTACTCGCGAACGAAAATCCGCAGCGTGAAATCGCGCCGCTGAGCGTGAAGCTGAAAAAAAAGGAAAAAAATGAAGAAGCCGGCTACAAATTTCCAGGTAAAGGGAAAACGCATTTCGACTCGTCCGGCGCAGGTGGAAGCCACGTCGGTGCATTAACGTTGCGCCCCCCTCGCTCGCTTCACGCTCAGGTGCGTGCCTTGAACGACACACGAGCGCGAGTTTCACATGCACACAATAGTGCAAAACAAGCGTCGAACGGGGGCCTCGCGTTCGCTGTTCGTCGTTCGTCGTTATTATACCTGCCGGCCGATGCGGCGATGCCCTGGGTGTTAAATCTTTCTCCGTTTCGTTCTGTTCGATTCCGTTCCGTTCCGTTCCGGTCCGGTGTTATCGTCAGCGAAAGAGGAGCGGGGTAGATTCTGTAACAGTTGCCCCGTCTTCGTTGACGTAGACGAAAATTCACCGCCGTAAACCGGTAACCGAACACTGCTGAGAGATACAATGCAGCGTGCGCGCGACTGCATGTTTCGTTCTATATCTGTCCCGGTGAGGAAGATCGAAATGATTAGCTTTTTTGAAAAGAGCGAATCGCTTGGGAAGAACGCGCGTGCTTTTACTTGTCCGGTTAACAGGTCGCTTTTACTTGTCCAATTAAAAGCTGTATAGGGTGGCAGTGGGGCCGATTACTGTAGGCCGGGGGTGTCAAACTCAGAAGCTAACTTGGGCCGAATAAACAATGCTTAACTTTAGGTGGGCCGCACAAAAAAAAAGATCAATGTTCATGGAAAGAAATATTTTTATTTTGACTAGTACATTATGATACTAAAGTTCAATCTAAATGCGGATTTCTTGCCGCCTCGTATAAGTTATTGTGCACGCAGCTTTATTATCCGCCCGTCACCACGTGTATATGTAAGGAACATTAGACAAGCGGTGGCCGCTTGCCACATGTAAGCGGAACTCGACGTAGTAATGGCAA